GAAGAGAAAATAATTATTTAAAATCGAGCACATTTCATTCTCTTTGTCAGTAAGTTTGCCCATAGTTATTTTTAAGGGGACCTATCTTATCTCTGACTTTTGTTCTATAGACCTGGAAAAACTTTTTGGGTTAGTTTTAGAATCCCTAGCAACTTTAATTTCATAGTCTCTTTTAGCTTTTCTTATCCCCTTTTTATATGTCCCTCTTAATGTCAATATACTGATTCATAAGATGACATCGCCTCTTTTGATACCCCTATAAATTCCTTTCTTATGCCCTAGTAGATATTTCAGCCTATTATTCATCCATTTTGGGTCATTTCTATTTGATCTAATTTCCTTATAAGGGATAAACGTTCTTTGAGCAGCATGTATTGTGTTCAGAAAACTGTCATATTGATAGCTCTCTTCGTTACCCAAGTCAACAGATGATAAGTGTTCTCTAAGCCCAACGTAATCTGCTAAGCGAAAATCTGGGACTGTTACTGAGTTATCCTACTATTCATACTTCCATTCAATTCTACATGTAATTGATTTGTGGTCGCTAGCACCCAGTTCCTCTGAAACTTCTAAATTATTAACAAGGGATTCATTGTTTGCCAGAACTAAGTCAAGCAGGTTATTACCCCTTGTAGGTTCTGTCACAAACTGCTTCAAAAAACAATCCTGAACTACTTCTAAGAAATCGTATGATTCTAAATTCCCAGTCAAGAAATTCCAATCAATATGACTAAAGTTAAAGTCTCCTAGAATTACTACATTATCGTGCCTTGTGGCCCTAACAATTTCCTCCCATAGTAGTCTCCCTGGTCCCTATCTAAATTTGGGGGACGGTATATCACACCTAAAATTAATTTTTCATGCCCCTCTGAAAATTCTATCCAAACAGACTCTGTATGTGTTACTTCAGACTTAATACCCGTTTTTATGCAACAGTTCAAGCGATCTCGGACATACAATGCCACCCCACCCCCCTTCCCGATACTTCTATCTACTTGGAACAATTTAAAACCCTGAATGTGACATTCTGCAGGCATGTCCCGACTTTTTGAATTAAACCACGTCTCAGTAATGGCAAATACATCTATGTTACCTGCACTAGCAACTAGTCTCAACTCGTCCATCTTATTCCTAGCACTGCGACTATTTGTGTAATAAATATTTAATGACCCTCCTATCTCTTTACCCTTCCTGCTCCTTTCTGTTATTCCACTAAATCTATTACTGTCATTGTCAATTAGTGCCACTGGCTTTCCAATATCCTCCTCATTTTGCCTATTACTAGTTCCCCTAGTACTCATGTTACTACCCTGCGACTTCACAGTTTTCCCGCCAAAACCCATACCACTAACTATTCCTAGTTTAAAGACCTATCAGCTCCCTCCACTGCGTTGGCCAGTGCTCCCACCCCACACCTAGACAAGTGAACCCCATCCCTGGCATACATGTCATTTCTGCCATAGAAGAGGTCCCAGTTGTCAATGAATGTTACCGCATTTTCCTTACAGTAATTTGTCCAGCCAGCAATTGACACCAATTGCTCTGGACAAAACCCTTCATTTCCAACTCCTCTCCTTGGCAAAATGCCACATATGACAGGTTTCCCACCCTTCTTCCTAATTATCTCTATTGCTGACCTATACCTGCTAATCAGGTCCTCACTCCTACGTCTGCCAACATCGTTGCCTCCAGCACTGAGACAGATAATAGGATTGCTCCCATTACCCCTCATGATGTCATCCAGACGGCTAACAATATCCTTCATCCCAGCCCCAGGAAAACATACTCTCTGCCTCCTACTCCTATCCTTCAAACAGAATGCCCTATCCATGTACCTAATCTGGCTATCCCAACAACGACAATGTTTTTACCTTCCTTGGCGTCGTTCCGTAGTGATGCTCCGAGTAGTCGACTCACATTCGCCAGGTAGCATTACACCACTTGTAGAATTCGTCATGACGTTCTCGATGGTCTTCGTTGGGGTTTCTAGGGATGTCTCACTCACGTCTGCCATGCTTCCTTGGTGCTCGTTGTGGCATTCCCAGTAGAACACTCACATTCGTCAGGTAGCACCGAGAATGAGTTGGAAGTTTCCACGGCAGTCTTCTGGTTTCTCGTTGTTTCTGCCTCTCCAACCGTTTTCTTAATCTTCAGCTTGGTTCCATGTTGCCCGACCACTGACCAAGCTCCCTTCTTAACCTGGGGACTCACAACAGGTGGATTACTACGAATCCTCTTGTTCTCCTCCGTTAATCGCCGTATCTCCAGTTTAGCAACTCTGAGTTCTTCTCTCAGCTGCTGGTAAAGCTGCTCAAGAGAGGGCATCCTGGTTCAGATTCACAGAGAGCACACAAACAGGTCTTCACAGAGCTAAGTACACGTCACCACTGAATGTGCCTCGTGCTTGACTCACCTTATTTACAAAAAAATAATGCAAATTTAGGGTCCAAAAATTTGAAATTCCCTTTTGGTTTACCGCCGTATAACTGTTGGGATCCCATAATTATACGGTAACTACCAGTTATTAGTTTCAAACAGTCGGGATAAGGAGTTGAACTACAAATTAGTTTATTCTTACACCCAGGTCTGGAGGTCAGTCTCTAGTTCCTGCTGATTAACACCTGCTGGGACGTCTCATGAGTATAAGAGCCAAAGTCAAACTCACACATTACATATGTTTACCTGGAGTTTACCTGGAGAGGGTTTCAGGGGTTAACGCCCCCGCGGCTCGGTCTGAGACCAGGCCTCATGGTGGATGTTACTTGCTGCTCTGTTACACACTTTGTAAATATTGATATTGGTGGTGGGAAAATACAGAAACTCGAAGAACTTCTTTCGGTGTTTGGTATTTCTTGAAATACTACTACACTGCTGTACAAGTAATCTATCTTATAGCCTAGTACAGTGGTTCCCAACCTTCTCTTACTACACTGCTGTACAAGTAACCTATCTTATAGCCTAGTACAGTGGTTCCCAACCTTCTCTTACTACTACACTGCTGTACAAGTAACCTATCTTATAGCCTAGTACAGTGGTTCCCAACCTTCTCTTACTACTACACTGCTGTACAAGTAACCTATCTTATAGCCTAGTACAGTGGTTCCCAACCTTCTCTTACTACTACACTGCTGTACAAGTAACCTATCTTATAGCCTAGTACAGTGGTTCCCAACCTTCTCTTACTACTACACTGCTGTACAAGTAACCTATCTTATAGCCTAGTACAGTGGTTCCCAACCTTCTCTTGCTACACTGCTGTACAAGTAATCTATCTTATAGCCTAGTACAGTGGTTCCCAACCTTCTCTTACTACTACACTGCTGTACAAGTAATCTATCTTATAGCCTAGTACAGTGGTTCCCAACCTTCTCTTACTCCCACTCCCCTCAAGGAAGGTTCCTTGATGTTGGTGAGGGGCTCTTGATTTAGGGAATTGGATCTGTGCTCCAGTTCCCCAAATTAAGCCTGAATGCCTTCCACATCCCCCCCAGGCGCTGTATAATCCTCCGGGTTTAGCGCTTCCCCTTTGATTATAATAATCTTACTCCCGCTTCCCTATAAAATTTTTGCTCTAACCTCGCCCCCCCCCTACAATTTAAACTTTGTTCAAGGATAAACGATGTGGAATCATACTAAATTTTATCAAAAGAAGATATTTATTTCACTTTCTAATATAATATGTGAACAAAAATCAGACTTACAGAAAAGAAACATATCACAGAATATTTGAATACACCTTACAAAAATAATAACTCTTGCTTGAAATATATACAAAAAAGTCAAATCAAGAACTAGGTGTCAAACCTTTAGAAAGGAATTTTATTTTTTTAATAAGTAAAAAAATCAAACATATGGACAAAAATGGATGTCTCCGATTAACATTTGAATATACCATACAAAAAATAGTTACTTTCTTTAAATATGTACAAGATAATAAAACCAAAAGGCTGGTAATTTTACTATGACAATGAATGAATTTCCTGTTATTAAGAAGGACGCTTCTCGCACCCCCTGGAATGATGTCTCGCACCCCCTGGAATGATGTCTCGCACCCCCAGGGGGTGCTCGCACCCCTGGTTGGGAACCCCCATCTTAGTATCACAGACTTAATTGTACCTGTGTTCTTAACAACTGTTACCTTGATACAGCTTCACTACTACCGTGTTTATCCTTCACCACCGTCATAGTGACCATTCAACAGTCTCTTGTTGACTCTTCACCAGCAGTTTGGTGATCCTTCACTAGCGTTTTGTTGATCTTATTGTCTTTGTAAGTCTTGTTCTGGCAAATGTATTTTTTATATCTTTCCCGAATGTTGCACTTCGAGAATATCTGTAGCTTATGTGTTGATGTTGTCAGGTGTTTAACATATCACTTCAGATGGTGTTGTTAGGTGTTTAACATATCACTCAAGACGGTGTTAAGACCGGGTTATCATGTTAACGTAATGTCAGCTTTAAGACGGTGCTAAGACCTGGTCTTTATGTTCACCTAATGTTAGCTTTAAGACTGTGTTAAGACCAGGTCTTCATGTTCACGTAATGTTAGCTGTAAGACGGTGTTAAGACCAGGTCTTCATGTTCACGTAATGTTAGCTTTAAGACGGTGCTAAGACCAGGTCTTCATGTTCACGTAATGTTAGCTTTAAGACGGTGTTAAGACCAGGTCTTCATGTTCACGTAATGTTAGCTTTAAGACGGTGTTAAGACCAGGTCTTCATGTTCACGTAATGTTAGCTTTAAGACGGTGCTAAGACCAGGTCTTCATGTTCACGTAATGTTAGCTTTAAGACGGTGTTAAGACCAGGTCTTCATGTTCACGTAATGTTAGCTTTAAGACGGTGCTAAGACCAGGTCTTCATGTTCACGTAATGTTAGCTTTAAGACGGTGTTAAGACCAGGTCTTCATGTTCACGTAATGTTAGCTTTAAGACGGTGTTAAGACCAGGTCTTCACGTTCACGTAATGTTAGCTTTTAAATTTCCCCCTTTGTACTCTTTCCAGCCTTTCAGTTACTGGTGCCAATTAGCTTGGCACTGCCTTCAATGGCACCATTAGAAGGACGATCTTTAGACTTGGACACCGTGATGGCTGGGGAGGTGGTGGCTAAGAACCTCACGTGGGATCCTGCATATCAACAATCTTTGACTCAACTCTCTGTTTACTTTGCCCATCTTGAGGTAAATTTGGTGGATTTATGATTATTTTGATCGATATTTGCACTGAAGTGTATACGGTTTATATATGCAGTAATTTTTTTTTCTATTAACATATCGGCCATTTCCCACCAACGTAAGGTGACTCGAGAAAGTAGAAACACTATCGTCATTATTCACTCCATCACTGTCTTTCCAGAGGCGTGCCTACACTTCAGATATATAAACTGCAATATATCAACACCCCTCCTTCAGAGCGCAGGCACTGTACTTCCCACCTCATTATCTCTCATTTCTCAGTCCACAGCAGGATTCGAACCTACACAGTCTGCGTGCATCTTGATAGTTGTGACAGGACCCACAGACATAATACCTGATACAAAAATCACTATGACATTTCCCGTGTCCGACTAAATCTATACAAAAATTCAATGTACATAAAGGGACCTAAAATCTGCAACTCTCTGCCTGAAATATATATATAATATATATAATATATATATTTATATATATATAAATATATATAATATATATATAAATATATATATATTATAATATGTCGTGCCGAATAGGCAGAACTTGCGATCTTGGCTTAAATAGCAACGCTCATCTTGCCAAATAGGACAAGTGAAAATTTGTGTATAATAATTTCGCCAAAATCGTTCTTGAACCTAACGAAAAAAATATATTTGATTGTGTTTCTTTAGTACTAAATTATTGGTAAACGTATTTAAAATATATGTTAGTTGGGTTAGGCTAAAATAAATTGCTTTGTTTATAATAAGGTTAGGTAAGTTTTCTAAGATTCTTTTGGTGCAAAATTAAAAAATTTTACATTAACATTAATGAAAAAAAATATATCTTTAAACGTTATAAGAGAAAATTTCAGAAAGGACTTAATTTTAAATGAGTTCTTGCTAATTGACCAGTTTTACATATTCGGCACGACATATATATATAATATATATATATATATATATATATATATATATATATATATATATATATATATATGTATATGTATATGTATATATATATTATATATATATATATATATATATATATATATTATATATATATATATATATTATGATAAATAATGTTAAGAACAGGAGGGGATATAGTTTTGGGAAGGTTGGTGCTATTATTTAATAAATATATAGAAGAGGGTAAGGTACCTAAGGACTGGCAGAGAGCATAAGAACATAAGAAAGAAGGAACACTGCAACAGGCCTACGGAGCAGGTCCATGTCTTCCCCGGATTAGCCCAATGACCCCCCCCCCCACCCTAGCATGCATAGTTCCTTTGTATAAATGCAAAGGGGATAAAAGAGAGTGCAAAAATTATAGGGGAATAAATCTGTTGAGTATACCTGGTAAAGTGTATGGTAGAGTTATTATTGAAAGAATTAAGAGTAAGACAGAGTAGGATAGCAGATGAACAAGGAGGCTTTAGGAAAGGTAGGGGGTGTGTGGACCAGGTGTTTACAGTGAAACATATAAGTGAACAGTATTTAGATAAGGCTAAAGAGGTCTTTGTGGCATTTATGGATACACAAATAACCCGCACATAAAAGAGAGAAGCTTACGACGACGTTTCGGTCCAAGTCGGACCGAAACGTCGTCGTAAGCTTCTCTCTTTTATGTGCGGGTTATTTGTGTATCGTTCCAGTCACGGTATTGTGCCCATTTTTGGTATTTGTTATGCATTTATGGATTTGGAAAAGGCGTATGACAGGGTGGATAGGGGGGCAATGTGGCAGATGTTGCAGGTGTATGGTGTAGTGAGTGAATTGTCTTTGATACAGTTATATTACGTATCAGATCATCATTGTCAGTGAAGATGAGGTCCAGTGTATTTTCTAGTCTTGTAGGCTCTACTATTTGCTGTTTTAAGGTGAATTTGTTGCAGGGATTTAATTAATAGTTCGTGTGTGTGTGAATTTTCATCTGAGCTGCCTCCCGGGGTGATCTCTGCTAAAACTTTATTTGCTATATTCCTCCATTTTAGGTGTCTCAGGTTGAAATCTTCTAGTAGTAAGATGTTTGGGGCAGGAGTTGGGAGACTTTCCAGACAGTGGTCAATTTTCTCAAGCTGTTCCTGGAATTGCTGGGAAGTTGCATCTGGAAGTTTGTATACAACCACAATGACAAGGTTTTGGTTTTCGATCTTTACCGCCAAAACTTGAACTACGTCATTTGAGGTGCTTAGTAGTTCTGAGCAAATGAGCGACTCTGTGGCCAGGTACAGGTTCCAGGACCAACCCCTTGTCTCACATGCATTTCTGTCATACATGTGTTTCACAGTATTTTGGGCAGATTTTAAGCTACCTTTAGTCAACTGATGGGCCACCTGCAGCCTTGAAGAAGGATTGTAGAGTGATTTGCAGGCGTCTTCTCCCATCTATCCTTCCTTGAGCACCCGTAAGGGACCTCTTACAACGTACCCGAAGATTAGCTTAAATGGATTGTACCCTGTTGATTCCTGTACAGTTTCTCGCATTGCAAACAGCAACAGAGGAAGCTATTCATCCCATTTTGTAAGAAAATGAATGCAAAAGGTCCTCATCATAGTTTTTTAAGTCATGTGAAATCTTCCCAATGTGCTTTGGGACTGAGGATGATAGGTGGTGGATAGTTGGTGATTAATACCTAGCCTTGTTAAAATCTCTGAATGATTTTGCTGTAAAATTAGTACCCTGGTCACTCTGGACAAACAAACTGAACAGCAGTATGTCATTTATTTCCTTTGCGGAATAGACAAGCTGGTATTTACAGAATGTTGACTGTTTACAATATGTACAGAAATGTAAGAGTAAGTGTACAACATTGGTAAACAAAGAAAGCAAAATGCACTGTGTACTACCAGCAACCCAGACAAGTCTGTCAATTTGTGTGTCACAAGTGAACCTCATTGCTTCATAGCTTTAGCGAGCTTGTCTGTGATTGGCCGATGAACCCAGGTACTGATTTATAGATGGGGGCCTTATTAATTGTTAAATCCTTAGCACCTGGCTCGCTGGTTGAGAGGTGCCAAAATTACTATTGACATCGTCCCCAAAAATGCAGTTAGAGCAAAGGATAGACTGAGCGCTTCCTGACTGCTTTCTACTCGGTCAGAAGGTGAAGTGAAACATTCTTGTTCTGAGTTCAGGCTGAGGAAGATTTCAACCACTTGGAGACTGCTACTACGGAAACCCTCGATTTCAAACGGAAATTGAAACGAAATTGAAATTGAAACGATACGCATCTCCGAGAAACGAACATTGCCACCAACAAAATGGGCTTTCCAGTCAGCTGAATCAGTTAATCTTGAGGTCTCCCATGGTCTTAAGACCGATAATGTCTCCAGGGAAGACAACATTATCAATCACTAGGAACGTGACTGACAGCTCCTGAACCTCGAAATGAATGGTGTCTTTCCCTGTACTGCCAGGGAGCTACCGGACACGTAACTGAGGGTCTGAATATCTGACGGCTCGGTTCACAAGGCTGCAGGGAAGCCAGTGTCGTGGAAGAGACTTAACAGTACAATATTTGCAACTTAACTTGAGTCAGACAAGAGGTTTAACAGGTTTGCTATAGAACGAAACTTGACCAAGGGACCGGTCAAGTTGTCGCACTGAACATGTAGACACGAGAGTTTGACCATATTGTCAGAGTCAGGGCTGCTGGTGGTTCGATGCTTGGTGGCAAGGTTAGAGCTTCTAGGGAAGGCTTGTACCAAATTCATCACCACTTTGAGAATACTAGATATTCAGTCTGGCAGTAGGCACGTCTTCACTTAGAGTGACAAGACAAAATACTTATTATATGAATTCTTCTGTGGATTTTGCTGTGGACGAAGACCTATTTACACTAGTGGATGGTCCCGCTGTGATCCCGCCTCCTCCTGCTTCGACTCGCCTGACTACAGTATATAAGCCACTTCTCAGGCCATATGCTGTACTTTCTACGAGAGTAATGGACTGAACACATCGCTTCCAGGCTGAGGGACTGATTATCTCAAACTCCTCCTCTCCTTACCCATTTCTACTTTGTATTGGACTGATGAAGTCACTGTGTGGCGAAACGTTTCTTCAATGAAGATTCCCATATGTTACATAAGTGTCTTAATCTTCAACTTGTCGGTTTCAAAACCATTTATCACACCACAATTACTCTGTCGCTTGGTTTAAAAGTCCCCAAGCACTTAATGAGCATCTCCCAAAATCTCAATCTCTCTCTCTCTCTCTCTCTCTCTCTCTCTCTCTCTCTCTCTCGTTATATATAATTTTGATTTTATCTTAGTTCTTGTTCTAATTACATTTCCTTTTATATCCATGGGGAAGTGGATTAAGAATCTTTCCTCCGTAAGCCATGCATGTTGTAAAAGTCAACTAAAATGCCGGGAAGTCTGAATGTGCGTGGATGTTGTGCAAATGATAAGAAAGAGATGATTGTGGATGTTATGAATGAGAAGAAGCTGGATGTCCTGGCTTTAAGTTAAAGCTGAAGGGGGTGGGTGAGTTTCAGTGGAGAGGAATAAATGGGATTAGGTCAAGGGTTTCAAATAGAGTTAGAGCTAAAGAAGGAGTAACAATAATGTTGAAGGATAAGCTATGGCAAGAAAAGAGGGACTATAAATGTATTAATTCAAGGATTATGTGGAGTAAAATAAAGGTTGGATGTGAGAAGTGGGTTATAGTAAGCGTTTATGCACCTGGGGAAGAGAGAAGTATAGAGGAGAGAGAGATTTTGGGAAATGTTGAGTGAATGCGTGGGGAGTTTTGAACCAAGTGTGAGAGCACTTGTGGTTGGGGATTTTAATGCTAAAGTGGGAAAAAATGTTGTGGAGGGAGTAGTAGGTAAATTTGGGGTGCCAGGGGTAAATGTAAATGGGGAGCCTTTAATTGAGCTATGTGTAGAAAGAGGTTTGGTAATAAGTAATACATATTTTATGAAAAAGAGGATAAATAAATATACAAGGTATGATGTAGCACGTAATGAAAGTAGTTTGTTAGATTATGTATTGGTGGATAAAA